AGTAAACCATGAAAGATCTGCGTTGGTGTGAGAAGTTTTCTGTAAATTATCACAGGGAGTCAAAAGGTGCTGTGTCAGCCTCACGCAGTTGTGAGAGGCTCCATCATTGAAGAGGGAGAGGAGAGTGGCATGGCTAAGGATATTGCAGCGAGAAAGAGGTACATGATGAGCGGTTAGTGGGGAATTTCACAGGAGATGAAGCGACTGGCTGAAAGGTGTTGTGTGGTGAGAATTCAGGAGGGCCTCTGGTGCATGGGACAAAGATCGTTAGAGGGGGTCCCATGATTGTTTCTTCAGTGGCCTCAACCAAAAAGGCAGTGTGGCAGGCATGACTCTGAGAAAAGGGAGGTATCCTCATGCCTGAGGGTCCAGTTGTTGGCTATAATAATGCCCTATGGATCTATGACGGTTTCCATATTTTTTGGTGAGTGTTCTAAGGGCATTCTCTTCTCTCTCACAAAAAGGGGGAAAAAAGAACCTCCCTGATATCCGAGGGCAGGGAGCTTTATTAAGCTTTTCTTTAAAGTCCCCAAGTCTGTGTTATCCTGATCTTCCCAAATAATAGGGTCAGGCTTGTTGTTGTTGTTTTTATTTGTATGTCGTTTATTTATGTATATGCTGTATGGTGTTGTTGTTCATTTATTTTGAGGAGGGGAGGGGCAGAGAGAGAGGGAGAGAGAGAATCCCAGAATCCCAAGCAGGCTCCGTGCCGTCAGTGCAGAGACCGATGCGGGGCCTGATCCCATGAACTGTGAGATCATGACCTGAGCCGAAATCAAGAGTCTGATGCTTAACCAACTGAGCCATCCAGGCACCCCCATGGTTTGTTGTTTTTTAGTAAAACATATAGGGGTTGGGCCACAGGAGAAAAGTTTGGAATCCAATTTCGATAGTAGCCAGGTAGCCTGAGAAAACCTCATAATGGTTCTTCGTTTGAGGTTTTGGGATGTTGAGGATACCGCTCAGCCTATCTGAATCTAAATGTAGCCCTTTTCTGAGATTTATCTGGGGTGGCCGGGGTGGGGAGCACAGGGGGGCAGGGAGGCTGAGCCTCTGTGGTCCACAGGTTTATCTATAAGTCAGTTAGTGCACAGACAGAAGCATAATAGCAACAACAGAAAGTTGTAAAACAACTAGATGAAAGAAGCCTGATGGGGTGGCAGTCCCCTGAAAGGGTCCCTGTACCACAGCCTGGCCCCTGAGAGGTATTGGATAGAAGTTCATTGTGATCTTTGCAACAGGGACCGACTCACGAGAACCAAACCCAAAAGGGTTCCTGGTAATTGACCAGAATCTAGCCCTTCCTTGCTCAGTGTTAGGATAACGGGATGACAGGTTAGCTGGCGAAGGGGGAGTCTGATACAATGATTTTGAGGCCTGAGGGGCATTTCATCCACCAAGCACACAGATGATCTGTTCCCTGGAGAGCATCTTTGGGGCCCTGTGGGAGGACCTGGCCACCCCCTTCCTTGGTAAGCTGCTTTCTCCGGCTCTGTTAACACCATTGCTTTGGCTGCAGTGTCTTTCACAGTAAGTTGCTCCTGAATCCAATTTCCGATCCCCATCCTTCCTCCTGGAGCTAAGACACGTGTGACACTGAGGCCTCGGAAGGTGACTCCTGCCCCAATACAGGCATCATAGCACAGGCGCCCAGCACTGGTTACGCCGCCCACTTGGCCCCACAGGTGACTGGCTGGTGTCATCCAGAAAAGGCCAATTTAAGGAACACATTTTAAAAGAATCTGAGACCGTCTTTTATTGAAAAACAAATTCTGACCTAGTCTACAGGTGTCAGCCCTTTACCTGCCTAAAAATGCTTATCTAAAAACAGCAGGGATTGAAAGGATTGGATGTGAATGAATTTCTGTCTTTTGGTGAGTTCCTTAGACTCCCTGAGTCTCAGTGTCCTCTGGAAGGTGTGCGGAATCACGCTAGTTTGCAATGTCACTGTTACAAGTTAGCGATGTTCTAAGTGCCTTCGATCCACTTGATGGTCAATAACTGACAGCTATTGTTGCTGCTGTGGAGGCTCTAAAAATTCATTTTCTCAGCGGTCCGCTTGGAACGGAACTGTTCCAAACTGTCTTCATTCCCGCCATCCAGCGCCTCTGATACGTCCAGCCATGTCCTTTTAGCTCTTACATTCCCTTTGTGCTCACAGAAAGCAAGCCATCTAGCGATACTTGAAGAGAAAGTATTTGTTTCAGGTGTAAGTTTTACACACTAACCTTTAGTGCCTGAACGGAATTAATTTTTTTAATTCTACGTAAATCGTTTTCTTCACTTAACAAACATTGAGAACAAGAGCATCTGGGTGGCCTTGTCAGCTAAACACCTTACTCTTGATCTCGGCTCAGGGCACCATCTCACAGCTTGTGAGTTCGAGCCCCACGTCGGGTTCTGTGCTGACAGTGTGGAGCCTGCCTAGGATTCTCTCCTCTCTCTTTGCTCCTCCCATGCTTGTGCTCTCTCTCAAAATAAGTAAATAAACATTTTAAAAAAGGGAGAGACATCGAGAACAAAAGAAAGAGAATTCTGGTGTTTGAAATTCAGGACACATGTTCCATGTAGTTCAGGTGGTGAGTGTCCCAGGCTGCCCACTGGTTTAAGGCTCAGATTCTGCAACAGGCATCTATTTTAGTGCACATGGATCACCTCGGCATCTTGCTAAAATGCCGAAAAAAATTCAGTGGTGGGGAGAGGGACTGAGATTTGACATTTCCAACAGCGCAGGGTGATGATGCCCTTGCTGCTGACTAGGACCGCACTTGAGTAGCAAGGACTGGGTGGGAGAAGACGGGATTACTTAGGGGCGAGAAAGTGGGTGAGGCCGGCCCCGTGCTTGGGATCTGGGGCTTTGGATGAGACTCCAGAATGGGACTCCAAGGGGGGTGGGTTTGTGGCTAGGGAGCTCCTGGGAAACTTCCTTGCCCCGTGGTTTCTTCAGCTCCTGATGCTTGCCGGGCTTCCCCCTTCCCACTGCCACTGGCTGGGTTTTCCCCGCACTCTCCCACACCATCACAGACTCTGGCTTTCCTCTTGTTCCCAGAGCTGTCACACTGTGCACAAAGCTTTTCTAGTGAGGTGTATTTCTAGTAAACAGCCTGGGAGTCAGAGTTTGGGACCTGGTCTCTTTTTTCCCCCTCTTTTTAAAAACTTAGATCCTGTAAGGAAATGCCAGGTAGCACAAAGATAGGAATCCAGCCCCCTTGCCCATCTTCCCTGCCTGCTTTACTTTATCCCTGTCCTCTTTCTTGGAAGACTGTAAGACCTTTGCAGGCAAAACCAGAAAAAGATTGGTCTTTGCATTTCCACAGTGTGTGCCCAGACCCAGGTGAATGCCAGGCATCTGCAAGAAGACACGCAGTGAGCAGGAGCAGGAGAGCAAGATAGGATGTCGTCATGGAAATGAGTGGGGATGAGGAGACGCTTGAACATCAGATTTGCTAGGATTCATTTCTAGCAGTTTTAAGACCACCTTCCAGCTCACTCAGGCCCCAGGCCCAGATCCCTCCAGGTGTCATTCCCCCGACCTGTTCTGGCAGGTGGAAGAATCAAGAAGTGTGAGGGGCCAGTTTTGCTTCCATTGTCTTTGTCCATCTTGGCTCAGAAACCTCCTCTGTTAGGATCCTTCCAGAAGGGTAACATCTTAGCAATGTTGTAAAGGTAATTCCCATCCCTTATAAAACTTGGCCTATGTGAATAGCTGTCACTTTGGTGGTGGGAAGGAGGGAAGGAAGATTAGGACAGAGTGTTACTAAAAAGTCTAGGGGCCTGGGTGGCTCAGTCGGTTGAGCTTCTGACTCTTGATTTCAGCTCAGGTCATGATCCCAGTGTCCTGGGATCAAGTCCCCTGTCAAGCTCTGCACTGAGTATGCAGCTTGCTTAAAATTCTCTCTCTCTCTCTCTCTCTCTCGGGCACCTGGGTGGCTCAGTCGGTTGAACAGATGACTATAGCTCAGGTCATGATCTCACGGTTTGTGAGTTTGAGCCCTGCA